CAACTTTGTGCTTGACATCTTGGCAAAGCCCAAACAAAGGGTCCGAACTGGCTTTGGCAACTCGGATCGGACCTTTGGGCCCACTATCAACATTCCATTCCAAGGCTGCAGCCAAGGCAATGGCGAAGGCACATGCATCTGGGTCGCAATCAGTGCCATCAGCATGAAACTCCGACCATCTCAACATGTGCACTGGCAATGCTTAGTCTTAGCAATGCTGAGAATGTGGCAAAGTTTAGCAAAGGTATATTGTAGTAAAAACTGGGAACCTTGATACTTGTATAAGATACTTGGATACATTAGCAGATGGGGTGGAGACGTTCAGCAACCGCTATCATCTGGTGGACAAACAGGCAACTTTTGACTCCTTCTCAATGGTGAGGCCAATGGAAAAAGAAACCTGCAATTGAAAAGAAGCCAAATGCTGGCAAGAAATCAAAGCATGTTGAGAACAAGAAGACACATCCAGTCAAAGGCAACAAACAAGCTCAATATTTGGAAGTACATGACATGCTGTGCCTGATTCAACAAAATTAATGGCAACAGTTACAAAATGCAGCGATAAGAGTATAATAGCATATAGGACCTAGCAGCTACTTTAATATATATTACAAAGATCACGCTTCGGAAATTGGTTGTGCATGGGGGTCGATCAGACCTGGCAGACATTTTGCACACTACTTGTATCATTGAAGCGATTCGATTCTGGTGGAAATAATGACGTTAGGGCGGTGATTTTTGGCAAAAACTCAGCAACGTGTGCTTTGTATATTCAGGACGCACCAATGAAACATCTTGGCTCACTATTACGGGAGACAAACGTCATGACTGGAAATGTTCCCGTGAGTTGGTTTCTTGCTGTAGGTACAGGACACAGGATGAGATACATTTAGACATTTGAATCTTCACGACCAAGAGCTCAGTTACCTAGATTGAGAGCTTCCAGATATAGGTTGCCAAATTCAAAAGGCACCAAACCGGTTAGACGATTACTTGCTGGAAAGACAATCAATGCAAGTTGGTGAGTATGAAGAAAGCATGGCAGATTCAACTCCAAGATAAAGTGGCAACTTACACAAATCCAGAAACCACATGTTGGTTAGTCTCCCAATTTCAGTGGGTATATTTCTTTCAAATGCATTGTCATCTGTGTCAATTAAGAGACTGCTGGTGAGGAGGAATTGTAATAGGATCTGACAGAAAAGACATAACACATGCACACATACACAAGGATAACCAATCCATGTTTGTCAGTTGACCAATCTCAGAGATGATTGGACCTGTTAGATCATTGTCGTCTGAATAATTTATTATTTGCCAAAGAGACCATCAATTGAGTGAGAAAGGAGATGCAAAAGTACCAAGGGCCAATACTTGATGTTATTACGTACATAGATGCAAGTACTCCATATTTGTCAGAAGGCCAAGTTCCGATGGCAAGGGGCCATTCAAACGGTTGTTGTCTGTATTACACGACAAAAAAGATATTTAGAAATGTGTAAGAAGAGGAAATGAAAGACAAGCAACAATGACACTCTGCCAGTTGAAACTCACAAGCCCAGAGGCCTTGGAGAGCAGTTAGTTGGCCGATGTGAGTTGGGATGGAGCCTGATATTAGATTTTCATCTGAATTCAGAAGAAGATGATGAGTGGCTTGTGCAATTTTCAATTGACCACCAAAACAACAAGAGTACATACCCAGGAAATTGTTTCGGAGATCAGTCAACCTTCCAATCTCGGACGGTAGCCTACCGACTAAATTATTTCGCCCTGCAGAGGAAGAAGGAATGGATGAATCGGGCCTGTCAATGTAGATGCAAACGAGAAATGATGTGACTGCCTCTCACTTACTCAAGTCCAACACCTGCAACTTGCTGAGCAGTCCAATTTCAGTTGGTATGACTCCAGATAGCTCATTGGATCCTGCATATGAAGAGCAGCTTGGAATTAGAATCATTTTGCATCGTGTTATAATGAAGATTTCATTCAATGCCGAACTTACTTAGGTCGAGTCGTGTCAGCAACGTTAGGCTCATAATGTCTGTAGGGAAGCTTCCTCCAAGTTCGTGGCTGCTGAAACCTAAATGGCTGAGCATTGTCAAAGCCTTTAGTTCTGACAGTATCGAGCCAACTATGCGACTCCAATCTGACAGACCGATGCAATGGATGAATCAATGATATGAGGTATGTAATGCTTCGATTTGATACAATCATTTGACAGTACGTACCAACAATATCCAAGTAATCAACCTTGCCATCCATGTTACACCGAATACCCTTGTTCCATTGGCAGACCGATTCGTTTGATAGCCATCTCCCTTGGGTCTGGGTTGGCCAGAATGGGCCATTCGTAGCAAAGTAAAGGGTCACAAAGGCATATCGTTCTCTCCAAAGACCTGAAGGATCGGCAGCCTCTTCAGGCGGAAGCCAAGTATCAGTCTGCAATAGCCACTTGCGAGCTTCAGGGTGATATGGAAGCAAATCGTCGCCAAGACTTGCGTCGATCGCTCCGATTCGAAATGGGTCTATTGTTGGATTCAAAGTTGTTGCAACACTTGGATTTGGAGTTGGCGCAACACTTGGTGGAAGAGCAGGCCAAAGTGTTGGTCCTGTCGGCGAAGTAGAAGGATTTGCAGTGGGTTCTGGCGGAACGCAATAATCCGTTTGGCTTTCATCATTTTCTCCTCCAAAGCATTGCGGAACAGGCTCAAAGCTATTTCTTTGGAAACAAATCATTCCTGTGTTGCAGTCCACATCAGAGTCACAGTCTGCAGTGCAATATAGTATGATATCAGAAATGGTGAGAAAAGTTTGAATCAAATGTGCGAATAGGATTGCGGGGCGACAGGATGAAACTTACCTCCCTCGCACAATCCAAGAGGGAATCGGTTGGTTTCTCTGAGCCTTGTTAGTGTTTTGACAATACAAAAGTTGATAGATTGGAAGTCTTCGACTTTTCCAGAACACCCAGGTACATCGTGTAAGTTCCCTTCAATTCGTTCCATGCACATCAGGCCCTCATCACAGTCTTGGTCACGATTGCAATTTCCTTGACAAAGCTGCAGTGGCAAATCCGAGCTAAGTGACAGAAACGAAAGCGAGGATGGAGACGCCGTCGCAGTCGTGCCATTGGCGGTGGTGTTCGTTTGATTGTTTAGAACTCGCACATTGTCAGGGTCAGGGTTAGGGTTCAAGTCCAATACACCAGTCAAAAGAACGATAGCCAAAATCAAAGTAACAATGAAAGCACCAAATCCCACATAGATGAATCGCTGTCTTCGCAAGTGTTTGATTTCTGCTTCGGCCAGCAGCTGATGATTATTCGAAAACTTGGGGTCTGGGTCTTCCTCTGGAGCTGTTTCCACATGCACCGCACTAACAACATTGCGATCTCTCTCCCGCAATGCTTCTGATACCGCTTGGTTCACAACGGAATCCATATCCCGAGCCACTTCCGCTTGAACATAGACTTCTGGTGGGGTCGGTGCTTCCAAATCAGTCTCATCATTCTGATTCTGATTTGGATCGTGATTCACATTATTGGTATCAATATCATCATCCACGGCCGATGATTCGGTGGGTGCAGTAGTACCGGTATTCGGAATTGGTCGGCTGTTATCAGTTTGTCGTTCCGTGTCTGGCTTGGACAGATACAGTCGCTGTTGACCTTGTGGCAGCTGTTGTGTCGGGCTTGTTGCTGATAGCAATTGTGATTGCAATCGCGATCGCGATTGCGATTGTGATTGTGGATGATCCATGGATTTGTTGAGAGAGGATGCGGATGCAGATTCTCGGCTTGGTGCGCAGTCGGTAAGAGTTTCAGTTCCAGTAGACTCCGATACTGCAGTACTTTTTGACAATAGATACGAATTAGATCCAACAGAGACGTTCTTGATTTCGGAATCCTTTTCTTTGTCTGTTTCACTTTGTGTTGTTGATGATGATGGTATCAAATTCGTATTCATCTTCTTATCATCATCATTCTCATCATTTGATTCATGCTGTTGAGTCATGGTGAACAGTATTTTAATGGATGCAATACCGGTATATATCGTGACTTCAATTACAGTAATAGTATTACTGCTGAAGGAAGGAAGGCGCAATCACGACGGCAAGAGTAATATGTACATGTACTCGTATTACAGTATTATTGTGCAATAAGATTGCGTTTTGTATGTGTGAGATATGATTTTTTATATGTTGGCGGAATCTATTTCAGTCAGGCCAGAATCAATCTGAGGGAGAGTTTTGAAGCTCCCAAAATATGTTGTACTATTCGGGTCGAATCCATCTCTTGCATCAGCTCGAAGGGCAGACGAACGGCGCCAACCAAAAGATATCGGGACTACTTGGAGATTCCGGAATTGCACGCGTGCGCCCGTCAAGTCGGTACCGCTCTACTAAAGCCACGCCGGATGCACTGCCGAAAATTGAAGGATGAAACTGCCATTCTCTTTCTACCCGAGTAGTGCTCGAGTATACTAGACAACAACACGAGGACAAGTGCACTGGTCTATCGGTTTCAGGCTTCAAATAGTACATCTGAAGTTATCGTGATTACACGCTTGGTTTTTTGTGGCCGAAAATTGAAGGATGAAACTGCCATTCTCTTTCTACCCGAGTAGTGCTCGAGTATACTAGACAACAACACGAGGACAAGTGCACTGGTCTATCGGTTTCAGGCTTCAAATAGTACATTTGAAGTTATCGTGATTACACGCTTGGTTTTTTGATGCCCACCCACCCACCTGTCTTTGGACGCCAGACAAGACCGGATGGATTAGGAACTTTGCTCTGCCTGGCTTTATCTATTAAACGATTAAAGTTGCAGGTATGGTGGTCGATTACTCGGATGAATTCAGCATCGACCCCCCACACATTGGTACCTGAATGTTATTCCTATTCAGTGTGCCCTTAGGTCTATAGTTGTTAAATGGAGTAAGCTTGATCGAATGTCGCCCCAACATCTAACTGGTTTGTCTCTGTTATTATGCCATCTCTTGCATCAGCTCGAAGGGCAGACGAACGGCGCCAACCAAAAGATATCGGGACTACTTGGAGATTCCGGAATTGCACGCGTGCGCCCGTCAAGTCGGTACCGCTCTACTAAAGCCACGCCGGATGCACTGCCGAAAATTGAAGGATGAAACTGCCATTCTCTTTCTACCCGAGTAGTGCTCGAGTATACTAGACAACAACACGAGGACAAGTGCACTGGTCTATCGGTTTCAGGCTTCAAATAGTACATCTGAAGTTATCGTGATTACACGCTTGGTTTTTTGTGGCCGAAAATTGAAGGATGAAACTGCCATTCTCTTTCTACCCGAGTAGTGCTCGAGTATACTAGACAACAACACGAGGACAAGTGCACTGGTCTATCGGTTTCAGGCTTCAAATAGTACATTTGAAGTTATCGTGATTACACGCTTGGTTTTTTGATGCCCACCCACCCACCTGTCTTTGGACGCCAGACAAGACCGGATGGATTAGGAACTTTGCTCTGCCTGGCTTTATCTATTAAACGATTAAAGTTGCAGGTATGGTGGTCGATTACTCGGATGAATTCAGCATCGACCCCCCACACATTGGTACCTGAATGTTATTCCTATTCAGTGTGCCCTTAGGTCTATAGTTGTTAAATGGAGTAAGCTTGATCGAATGTCGCCCCAACATCTAACTGGTTTGTCTCTGTTATTATGCCATCTCTTGCATCAGCTCGAAGGGCAGACGAACGGCGCCAACCAAAAGATATCGGGACTACTTGGAGATTCCGGAATTGCACGCGTGCGCCCGTCAAGTCGGTACCGCTCTACTAAAGCCACGCCGGATGCACTGCCGAAAATTGAAGGATGAAACTGCCATTCTCTTTCTACCCGAGTAGTGCTCGAGTATACTAGACAACAACACGAGGACAAGTGCACTGGTCTATCGGTTTCAGGCTTCAAATAGTACATCTGAAGTTATCGTGATTACACGCTTGGTTTTTTGTGGCCGAAAATTGAAGGATGAAACTGCCATTCTCTTTCTACCCGAGTAGTGCTCGAGTATACTAGACAACAACACGAGGACAAGTGCACTGGTCTATCGGTTTCAGGCTTCAAATAGTACATTTGAAGTTATCGTGATTACACGCTTGGTTTTTTGATGCCCACCCACCCACCTGTCTTTGGACGCCAGACAAGACCGGATGGATTAGGAACTTTGCTCTGCCTGGCTTTATCTATTAAACGATTAAAGTTGCAGGTATGGTGGTCGATTACTCGGATGAATTCAGCATCGACCCCCCACACATTGGTACCTGAATGTTATTCCTATTCAGTGTGCCCTTAGGTCTATAGTTGTTAAATGGAGTAAGCTTGATCGAATGTCGCCCCAACATCTAACTGGTTTGTCTCTGTTATTATGCCATCTCTTGCATCAGCTCGAAGGGCAGACGAACGGCGCCAACCAAAAGATATCGGGACTACTTGGAGATTCCGGAATTGCACGCGTGCGCCCGTCAAGTCGGTACCGCTCTACTAAAGCCACGCCGGATGCACTGCCGAAAATTGAAGGATGAAACTGCCATTCTCTTTCTACCCGAGTAGTGCTCGAGTATACTAGACAACAACACGAGGACAAGTGCACTGGTCTATCGGTTTCAGGCTTCAAATAGTACATCTGAAGTTATCGTGATTACACGCTTGGTTTTTTGTGGCCGAAAATTGAAGGATGAAACTGCCATTCTCTTTCTACCCGAGTAGTGCTCGAGTATACTAGACAACAACACGAGGACAAGTGCACTGGTCTATCGGTTTCAGGCTTCAAATAGTACATTTGAAGTTATCGTGATTACACGCTTGGTTTTTTGATGCCCACCCACCCCAACATCTAACTGGTTTGTCTCTGTTATTATGCCCCCGTTCAATTTTCAATTTTGATTTCCGAAGTCAAAAAAACTTTTGTACAGGCCGTATATTAAAATACCATACTGTACAGTACAATAAATCAATAAATAGTTGTTGGGTTTGATGCAAGGGTTAGGGATTTGTAAGCACTAGCCTTCAATCGTAGTTCCCATTGTAATTTGTAAGCTTAGTTGAGCAGCACCCACCCTCCTCGTTTCCCTGTTCTTTCTCCAGGACCATAGGACAGACCACAATACTCAAATACTGCATGTAATGTATGTGGAATGATGAATGCACGACAAATCAATCAAATCCAAAATCAAAATGTCAATATATGCTATATGCTAGCCAATAGCTAGATTCTGAAGAGTAGACAAAATAGTAAACAAGGCACTAACGACTTGTTGAAAGTACCATCTGTTCTACTAATTGTATGGCTTTATTAGCTGATTGTATAGTACAATCTTGTCCAGAACGAACATTGGAGTGAGTTACATGCATCTGGTTAAAACGCAATCTTACTTGTCCCACTCATTGCATCCTTCTTTTAAATTCCAGTGTGTGATTCATTGTATTGCAGGAACTTGCCCACGCAACTAAAAACTCATGTTCGTGTTGTAGCAGAGGCACCGTCCTACAGGCAATATACAAAATTCCAGTCACAGTCCAACTATACTTTCATACATTGATAGCAGAAGCCCCATCACCATTGGCACTATTTTGAGGATCAGCATCTTTCAGCGAACATTTGCTTGACTTTTGACTAATAATGCTCTTGGGCAAAAGAAGCAAGTCTTGACCCAATCATTAAAAGATCTATCGTTCTGTTGATATGAAATTATCCCGTTGCAAGTCTTCCATTGCCATTTTCTTAAAGGATTCAAAGTCCTCTGCTTCTTCATCGCTGCTTCCAAAATCGAGCACTCCATCGACAAATTCCACTAGTGACTCGTATGTCTTTGTGGTTCTTGACCAAGCGGTTTTCGCAATCGCTTTAATATCTACATCGTTCTCCTTGAGTGCAGAAAGTCGAGCCGAGACTTTGCCTTTTGCTGCCACAAACCCATTATGCACAATTTTGAAACCCAACCAAAAGCGTTTTATCAAAATTTCTTTGCCTTTCTTCATGAGCATATCTTGCATGGATGAACCAGATGCACCAACGTCAAGCTCGTCAGGAGGGTCTACCCCCTCAAAAAATTTGTCAATGTCATCAAGTCCTTCGACAAAATCGGAGTTCACATCTTTAGCCTGCGCCGCTGGATTTCCAGCAGTTTCGTCTGGTGTTCTTTCATCGTCTGTAATAGAAGCTTCATCAAACCCGATTCCAAGTGGAAATAAATTTTCTCTGAGTTGACTTTCTGGTATAGGGCCTATCCCAAGTTGCTTTTGTATTCGACTCTCAAAAACATGGTATAGTAGTTCCATATCTGGTGGCCTAGCACCGACCTTTGGTGTTCCCCAAATGCCTCGACACGATCGGCCGTGCGAACCGTCGCTTGAGGATTGAGCATTTGAGGCCTCGTCGCTATTTTCCTCAATGCTTCCATTCGGGCTAGCTGGCTGGGTAGATTCTTCTTCGTGTTCCACTGACGGAGTATCCAATATTTTGTCATCCATTCTAATGTCGCCCGTTGCGGTAACATCATTTTCCTCATCGAGATCGAGGATGTCGTCCTCGTCCTCGATTTTGGATGCAGATAGTTCCTCCACCGGTAAAGGAATTTCTGTTGTTGTGGTACTGTCGGTGCTATCTTCGAAATCTTCCAAACCAGCTTTCGGCACTTCGGCGGTGGTGCTTTCAACTCTGCTGATGTCTCCCTCGGGTTCTACTTTACCAACCTCATTCGTTTCGCCCATGTTGGCGTCTGTGGTAGGCATCGCGTCGTCGCTGTAATCGTAATCTGTGTCGGTGCTTGTCTCGGTGTGACCCTCCAAATCTTCTGCAACCTGTTCCTCGGCCAAGGAAAAGTCGCCTCCTTGTTCGCTGTTCTTTCTAACGTCTTCGGTGTTTGTAGCTTGTTCGTCCATTGATGACGTTGTCTCGTCAATGGTGTCAATAGTATCGTCGTCGGTCGCAGACTTCATTTCGCCTTCCCCCTCGCCATCATTGACCTCAACGATATTGTCATCATTTGAGGTGCCCGATCTGGATCTAACAGGCTCTAAAATATCCTCACCCCCATCGTCCTCTATTTCTCCGATTGAATCCCTGGTACCATCGTGCTCATCGTTTTCTTCATCCGCATTTAGTATCGATTCATCTTCTCTTTCATCGATATTTCCTCTTGTATAAGTCTCGACAGGGTTATCACCTTCTTCTGCCTCCCCCTTCCAGAGGTCTGCTTGCTCCTCTTCTTTGTTATTGTCTAGCATAACTCTGGTATCATCGGCATCGGTATTTGTATCGGTATCGGTATCGAAAACAATCGAATCCTCATGGTGTTGGCCGGCGATAGTATGGTCGTCTTCGTGCCTTTCGTCGTCCATTTCCGGTGTCACGGCACTGCGAACATCTGCTTCCAGTGTAATGGGCATGTGACCTTCCTTTCCCTTCTCCGAATTCTCGGGTGTCTCGTCTCCTATTCCTACGTCATCATCGTCCTCCTCATCATCTGATGATCTTCTAGGGGGTATCCTGTCTTCTGCTGGAGAATCGGGCTGTCCGTCCTGCAATCGGTATTCGTCCTCTGGATAATAAGTATCATTGGCTTCTGACGGGCTGTCGCCGTCATTTTTGGGGATTTCTATAGAATCCTCCTGTTCTTGTGTTGAGGTGACGATTGTTGTTGTTGTGGGAGGTACTCTCTCTGCGTCATCTTCCTCTGCCGAGACAAGAAGTACGTGTATGCAAAACCAATTCACTAGGCAATAAGCCAAGAGAATGGAAAGAGTTCGCCTGTTCATGATGATGATGATGATGATGATGATGATGATGATGATGATGTGATCGGTTAGACTGCATCTCTCCCATCAATAAAATATGATGATCATCGATCATCGTTGATAGTCGATAATATGTTTCCACGTGTTGATATAGTCGATCACTTTGACTGCCGCGCACTGATTTTAACGCAATAGTTGATTCAATCGACTACCACATACTCCAAAAGAGATGCGATATACCGGTATGATGCATCAATGAATGAACATCATCATACCGGTACCTAACCCCCCGCCAATGACCAAGCACTCAGTACCAAAGTCAAGATGAAGAGGAGAGCGGCTCCTCCTCCACCTCTTATCTCCTCCTACGCGTTTCAAATATTAATCTTCAGCTTGACTTCAACGCTTCTTTTCGTGTTTTTCTTGGCTTGTTCCTTGGTCGATCCATCCTTGCCAATAAGCGAGATTAAGAGTGAGCTTAATGGCAGCTTCCAACAAGGATCTGCAGCAGGTTCGAGCAATTTCAAAGCAGCGAAATCGATCAAATTCCCCTTCTTACCATCTCGACATCAAGTAAACGATTTCTTTCAGTCATCGATCAGAAGAGGAAAGAGAGTATTCTCATCTTCAAAATCAGGTCCTTACGACTTTCTGGAACCAAAATTGGATTTCTTGCCACCCTTTGCTACGATTGCCAACGTGGACGAGCTGATACATGATACATTGGAAAATGATCGTCCCACTCTTGCTGGAATTGTTGGAGTGCTCGATCGTTTCATCAGCGATCTTCGCACGTCCAACCAAGCTTTGGCTTCCCAAGCTTACAACACATTGAATAACAGAGCGGCCAATCCGATCCACCCTGCCGATATCCGAGCAGCCTACTTTGCCCTAGCTTCGAAGCACTTGATTCCCTTGGACAAGGCCTTGAGGCAATCAGAATATCCAAAATTAAGAGAAGATGGATCTGTTTTCATGTCACTCGCTGCCTTTCGAGAACACATCCTTGCTGATACGATGAAATCAGCATTTCGGTACTCCAGCAATCCAGACAAGCTATACGTCGGGGCCGTAGTTCAGAATTGTTTTGGAGGAAAAGGTTTAAATGCGTGCAAGACTGGAATGCAAGTGGTCGACGCCAAACGAGATATCCGTCAAGTCATGGATGCCCCACCGGATGAAAATGGAATTGAACTATTTTGCTCGGATCCAGAATTTGCAAAGTATTGCAAGGCTGGTCAAGTTCGAGTGCTATATATGCATGAAACAGAAGCGATTGGGCCAGCAACAGCAAGGTAAGGCTTCAATCAATCGTTCCGTTTGTTCCAAGTGCCATCCTTTGAACCAAAAAAGTCATTTCCATGTTATCGCGGTCTACCGGTATAGTCTCCGAGTCTCACTTTACTTCCTCCCAACATTCATTTTCACCAGATATCTAGCATCCAAACTATGGTAAGCGAGCTTATAGCGTAACCGAACAAATGGAATGGAATAGAATCTGTATCATGTCATGCTTATGATTAATCTCAGGGTATGGTCCTCTAACACATTGGCATTTTCTTCTTTTAGGGGAGGCGAAAACTACTATGTTCAAGTCGATAGTCATTTGCAATTCGCAAAAGGATGGGATGAACTTTATATCAAGGACTTGCATCTCGCCAAGGCCTTCCCGAATGCCATTCTGTCGACCTACCCGCCTGGTTTTATCAATTTCCGGCAGGAACCTCCCTACACGCGCGGCACCAGAATATGCAACTGTCACTTTAGTGAGGGAGAAGGAAACATTCTGCGAGTGGAAATGAATGGCCGGTGCAAGGAAAATGAGACAAGACCTAGCCAAATGCCATTTGCGGGTGCGGGGTTTGTCTTTGCGCATTCTCAGGTAAGATTTTAAAGGCAAGTTTGGACTCGGCATAATCGTCATTGACAAGAAGCTTACATCCCCTCGTACCTTGTACCTATCGTTCCATCCACATTGTTCATGTGCTGTGTGTTGATAAAGCTGCTCCGAGATGTACCATATGACCCATATTTACCATGGTGTTTCATGGGAGAAGAGATCGCCTACAGCATACGTGCGTGGACGTCTGGGTGGAGCATATATGCTCCAAGACTCAATTTGGTAAGTGCCATAATATTGATGCCTTGGTAAAACATGGACGACGCTCACTCACTCGCTTGTCCATTCTCGTTGCTGGATCCAGATTGGTCATCACTATCGACCAGTAAGTGTTGTTTCCTTCTCCTGACGTAATGAGGCAGCATCATTATCGTTTTGCTCACGGGATCCATTCTTTCAATTCTCCCGTTTCCTCTCACTCTCCTTTTTTTTCTGGTAAGTTAAAACTGGGCCTTCCTCATTATTGGGAAACAGTAAACCGGCTATTTCCTGGAATGGCGGACATTTTAATGTCCTCACCACGGAAACGAATCAAGAATCTTGTTGGGTATCCAATGTATACGAAAAAGTTTGTAGAGAAGGAATGCCAAACAGAGTTGACCAAGGCTCGGAAATTCGATGATGAGAGCCTCTATCAGGATGAGAAGTTCTACAGTGTCTTGCACAATCTGGATTTGTATGGATTAGGATCCAACCGAACACTGGAAGATTACCTCGCATTTGCCGAAATAAATTACAGGACACGTACATGTGGGGACCTCAAATGGTGTTCGAATGGAGAAGTGGAGTAATGAAATAAGTATCTTGGAACGGCACAAAAAGGCGATAGTAATGCTGTACTGTAGGTACTCTCGTAGTCAGTCTTCCATTGTCGCCACTATCACATCAGTACACTTATCATTGCCAAATACGGGTACTACAATAGTGGCTTATTCAAGCGAGCAGCGTTTTCATCGCTAAAACGCCTTCTTAACGGTCCAGCATGCCTTCGTGTTGCTTCTGCCAATCCAACTCCGGAGCTTGGATGAAGGATTCGCCTATTAGCTTTGTTGTTGTATTCATCCAACACTTTGAGTACATACCGGTAGAACGCTTCAGCTTTGTTTTCATCAATACAATCAAAGCATTGCCGATACACAGCAGATCACACCACGTCAATAACCTGAATTTGACTTGGAACGAACGCCCCCAAAAACCACTGAAAATCCAAATCTTCCGACAAGAAGCAAAAACAGACACACGAAACCATGGCAGAAGTTCCACCAACACGTATGAATCAACAAGTCTTCAAGCTTAAGCTTAAGGCTGCACAAGGAGGACACAGGCTTTTGAAGAAGAAGGCCGATGCCTTGAAGGTACGCTCCTGTTTGCTATTGCTATTTCTATTGCCACTGGTTTTGCCTGTGCAGTGAAGTGAAGTGAATTGAAGGATCCACACGAGGAATGATTTTGTTTGCAACACACACGAACAATGAATATTGAATCATGCTCACCGCCCCCGTTTTCCCTACCGTTTCCTCGTATATCCATCGTATCAATTTGCCGTTCTTGACGGTATGACGTTGATTTCTTCTGCCATGACTTGATCGCATACAATTTCAAATTGATATCTTATCTTCTCTTGAATCAATCCTTGATCATTATCATTGGATACACAAAAACAAAAACAAAAACACTCACAATGACAGGTCAAATTCCGTGATTATGCCAAATCGATTGCCGAGACCAAATCTGGAATGGCGAATGATGCCTCTGGTGCCTACTTTTCCTTGACTCAAGCCGAGTACGCAGCTGGAAACTTCAAGCAAAAGGTATCCGAAGGATCCATGACGGCTCGTATCCGTGTCGGAGCGGGCGTGGACAATGTGGCCGGTGTCAAGCTACCCGTCTTTAGCAAGTACGAGACTGGAGCTTCAGCAGACAACCAATCACTTGGATTGGTGGGGGGAGGAAAGAAAATTGTGGCTGTCCGCGAGAAGTTTACCAACTTGCTGGAAATGCTCATCAAGCTGGCCTCTCTTCAGACATCCTTCCAGACTTTGGACGAAGCTATGAAGGTGACCAATCGTCGCGTGAATGCCCTGGAGAATGTGACGATTCCCAAAATCGAAGACACTCTGGCCTACATTGGACGTGAATTGGATGAGTTGGAACGTGAAGATTTCACAAGACTCAAGCTTGTCCAAGGAAAGAAGGAGGAAGAGCAGAAAGCGGAAGCAAAGCGCAAGGCTCTTCTACCAATTGCCCCCGGAAAAGAAAACGAAGCCGATATCACCGCAGAGTATGATGCCGGGGATGATACGGACGTTGTGTTCTAGAGGGGTTTCGTTTGCATGAGATAATGACTTTTCATCGACATCTCTTGTTTTATCACCCACTGGACACTAGGCACTGGACACTGATACCATCATACGATAACACACCACCATTATAGATTGATACTCGTTGCCACTAAATAGTAATGCATTTCGAACTTTTTTTGTTGGATGAGAAATGGATTAAACTGAATAGGGTTGTTATTAATTCCTGTGCATAGTTTCCCACCACCCTTTCGGTCGTCACCACTACATTCAGTAATTATATCACGAATGATATTGTTTATACAATGATCCTACAGAAACAAAATTATCGTCACAGTAGTATTGATATGCATTGTCATCAATTTATATTCATTACATATATACATGCAAAGGGCTTGATGTATCCATTAATATGAATCTTGCCGAAAGGATTTGGAGCAATTGTGCAGGGCAATGCAGGAGGATACCGGTATGTAAATATCAATTCAAGTTCATATGACCACCATGTAGGACTGCCACTCTCCTCTTGCCTTAGAAAATTCCATGATGAAAGAATGACGGTGGAAGAGTAGTGGTCGATGTGTAGTACTCGTGGACTTTGGCAGTGGTCTCTGCGATATCGACGTCATTGACGCCATAATGACCATAGTTCATCATGAAAAAGATGCAGGCAAAGTAGTAGAGAACCGCCACGGGCAGCTCCAACTTGGCAAAAGTAGATTTCCATGTTATGCTAAAAGGAGGAGTGGGTGGATTGATGCAAGAGTGTGAGCAATGCAGTGTGTATATATAATCAATAGGAGAGTTTCACTCATTCGGAATATGACAACATCCATCAATGATAAGACATAATATGCATACCTTTGTTCCTCTTCCTCCGATTCTACCACAGGTGCTGCTCCTGCCACCACTGCAGATGCACTCGAGGAAGACGAAGATGCCTTCACTCGTAATCTCGATACAATGTCAGCAGCGACATCTTGATCTTTGCATATGGCGGTGTTCTGGTTTCGCATATTCCCATAGGTGCACTGGGAGAGAAGAAATGTCAAGTCTTGGAGGAGATGAGTAGCATCGTCTATGGAACATTCTTCCCCACCATCTTCAGCACTGTAGGCACAATCTCTAGCTTTTGCGTATAGATACTGGACGTCATCATTGCTTTCCATGGAAAAGCCGACTCCCAGAATCGTGGCGGAAGCTCTTCTTCTTTGCTGTGACCACGGAAGTTCCTGTCTGAGTGATGGCGATGATGATGCCAACTTCAACAATCTTGCTTCTTGTTGAATTGACAACGACGAGCTTTGAAATGCCATGGAAGAAGAGAAAAGGGTGCAGAGTAGCAATGTGAACGAGGACATGGTTGCGATGAAAAGTGCTACAATGTAGGCTCTGATGGAATAACAAAAAGTGCGATGTAGAGAAGATACCAAATACCGCGTGCAAATGCAAAACGAAAAAAGAGAGAAGGTTTCGAAAACGAGAATCTCAATCAAGCAAATCGAGAATCCCCCGGCCATCAAAGGGTGTCACGAGTGACTTCGCATCAAACGTTCCCCCAAAGGTATTTTCTACCTCGCTCCTCCAAAAATGACCATATTTAGTCGAAGCAGTCAGAACCAACAAGTAAGGCGGTAATACGTAAACGGGAAAACGTGCAAGCTTATGCACTCAACAACAACCAAAAGTAAATTGAAATTTTGCAATCATGGCTGAAGTAAAAGTAGCTCCCCGCGGAACATTGGAAGGACACGGCGACTGGGTCACCTCCCTCGCTACCACCCCTGAAGATCCCAACCTTTTGTTGTCTTCTTCCCGTGACAAGAGTGTCATTGTCTGGCAATTGACTCACTCCAACACTTCCTCTGATTACGGCTTTGCCCGCCGTGCTCTTCGCGGACACTCTCACTTTGTGAGTGATGTTGTCATCTCCAGTGATGGACAATTCGCCCTCTCTGCTTCTTGGGACGCTGAATTGCGTCTTTGGGATATTAGCACCGGAAAGACCACCCGTCGTTTCGTTGGTCACGAGAAGGATGTTCTTTCGGTTGCCTTTTCTGCTGACAATCGTCAAATTGTTTCTGGATCTCGTGATGGAACCATTCGTCTTTGGAACAGTAAGTGGATACTGCATTGGATTGCTGATGTTTTTCTTGCTGCAATGCTTATGCTAACAATCACTTTCTCATCCTGAAACCTTACTCCTGTAGCTCTTGGAGAATGCAAGTTCAAGATCTCTGGTGACCAAAGTGAAGGCCACACCGAGTGGGTTTCTTGCGTCCGTTTCTCTCCTTCCCAATCTGTTCCCCTTATTGTTTCCGCTGGATGGGACAGACTTGTCAAGGTCTGGAACTTGACCAACTGCAAGCTTCGCAACGACCTCATCGGACACACTGGATACCTAAACACTGTCTGTGTCTCCCCCGATGGTTCCTTGGCCGCGTCTGGCGGTAAGGACAACACTGCTATGCTTTGGGACTTGAACGAGGGCAAGAGATTGTACAGCCTTGATGCCGGTCAAATCATCAACGGACTTGTCTTTTCTCCCAACCGTTACTGGTTGTGCGCTGCCACTGACGACTCTATCAAGATCTGGGATTTGGAATCCAAGGTCGTCGTGGATACCCTTCGCCCCGAAGAACCTGAACACGGAAGTATGCCAGCATGCACTTGCTTGGCTTGGTCTGCTGATGGTCTTATGCTTTTCGCTGGATACTCTGACAACCTCATCCGTGTCTACTCTGTCTCCTAAGCTTTTCATGCTGCTATTTCTTGCGCTTGAAAGAAATTAATATTTTAAAAACAGTATTATAGCTTTGCGTTGAAATAGTACAACTCCACTATGCAATTCATCATTTGTTGTCTATGTTCGCATAGATGTACCTCTAGTACATACTTTACGAATAAATGAATGAATCAATCGACCGGTTTTGGAGTTAGTTTTCCCCCAAAATAGTTCTCCCAAAGAGAGAGTCATCTTCCAAAATGACCCCGTTTTGGTCGTTCGAAAACTGACGCTTCATTCTGATTTGTTGATTTCAAAAATCAAATACTTCAATCGCTACACTGTACTGCGCTTTCAGCTTGCCATTATTGCGCATCTCCCAACATCAGATCCTACAGTAAGCCGCATCTTCAATCTATTCGAATTCCAGAAATTCTAGTTCCAAATTCAGACTACTATCGAATAATAATAGTCCGTTCCAAGTCTAAGCTATATCACTGAATAGTAAAAACACACATGTCAAGACAAAGCCATTGTCTTCAGTCTTCACTGTGGGCACCAACTCAACTTATTCTCTTGTCAGGCCTTCTGTTTTCATCATCAACGGCCTTTTCATGGAATCAGCGGCAATCGAATCTTGGACCTAGCAGACAAACCGGTACCAAATACACATCCACAAGATCCTACTCAAGAGCAGTAGGTCATAGTAATAGCCCATGGGCATCGACATCATCATCAACCAACACTATCAATTCAGCGTTATCATCCACAGCTGCAGCATATTCTGATTATGTTTCCATTGATCGAAGTGCTCCAAGAGAGATTGACTACTTTCAAGGATGGGCAGGTTCTTGTGGCGTTCAACCAGAGAATGGATTTTACCTTCAGGGACAGCTGGTCGATGACAATGAAGACTACTACGCTGCAACCTCATCGGGTGCTGCCAGTGGTTCTCGGATGCTTTATGTGCCAGGTGAAATGATCCTATCCGCATACCAAATTTCTCAAGAATATAATGGATATATCGATGCTTCTCTACAAACGCTTGTTGAAATGGATATGCAGCATCTGCAAAAGCACTTTCATCTATTTCTCAAGATCCTTGTGGAATTTGAAAAAGGATCCGAGTCGCCGTATATGCCCTGGCTAAATGCTATGCCACGAAAGTGGAATACTGCTGCATCAATGGGTGAGTACAACCTTTTTATTGTGATATCGAAAATGAACCATTGATCAATGGATTTTGCCTCACAATAGTTTTTCGATCGTTTCCGTCATCTTTTTCGTCTCCTTATTGGGTATATATATATATAGACAACTTTTGCTTGTCCGTGCTGCCACCATACATCAAAGCGGTGTGCCACACCGAGCGTGATCAACTGGGGGCCTTCCGACGAGCACTGGGGGCGTTTGACTACGTTTCTCCTGAGACCAAGAACAATAGTGAGCTATTGAAATTTGCATACAACGTGGTGTTCACTCGTGCCTGGAGGTCAGATGAAGGCGACTATCGGATCGTTCCAGTAGCGGACATGATCAATCACGAATATCCCGACAATTGCGTTATTTGCTACAATGAGAATGGAGGATGCGAGGTCTATGCGAAGAGGGATATTTCTGCTGGTGAAGCCTTGACGATGTCCTACGGAACACCAACGAATCCGTCCAAGCTTCTCGCAACGTACGGGTTCCTTCACCAACCACCAGCAACCTTTTGCAAAATCGTTGTTTCCAATCCTTCTGAAGAATTGAAATCGGTCGGATATGATCCAAATCGTATGGTATTCTTTTCTGACGGCTCAATAGCACAAGATGTATGGGATGTCTTGCTGTATCATCGATTGGAACGAAAACCAGAGTTGGCTGCAGTCAAAGATGCCTTCTTCCAGGCTCACATGTCAGGAGATGAGCAAACCAAAAACTCAATTCACAACCAATTCCAAAGGGAGACTGTTGGCGCACTCCTGCGGCATGTCAATCACATCTTGGCAGAAGTCGCAGAATTGACGTACAAGATGAATTCGTTTGATTCAAGTCAACATCCGCGACTGCCGCTGCTTCTCAAACACCACGCTATGGTGACCGATACATTCACGAAAGTGAGAGACTTTTTGATGGATTTGCAAGGATAATAACTATGGGATATATTAATACGCATGGAGTTGTTATTTACTCGTAGCGCACATTTCGCCAGAGACAATAAGGTGGATTCTTTCCTCCGACCTAGTTTGAGCTTAAACACCAGGTATTGTTGATAGATCGGATTTAAAATGACGTATCCTCTGACTATACCCCAGTTTTCATTCCGTGAACCTGCTAGCATACCAAAATTCGTTTTTCTTTTACACATGTTCGTTGTCCTTTTATATATATTTTATACCTATGTCTTGAAAGTGGCAGATACGGAAGAATGATAAGTTATTTATGGTCCAGTTGAAAGTCTTTTTGCGGGGAATTGAATGTGTCTCAACGGTCACGCAGCTCGCCGTGCACATAAATAGAAAAAGGTTGACAACTCAAATATTTGACGACATACATTATCTAAACAACCTTGATCAACCGGTCGCTTTCAGCTCGATCAATAGTCTTCTCTGGAAGTCTCTTACATCGAAGTACATATTTGAAAAGAAGAGACTCGATACAGCGCAATGACACCAGCAGACGAAGTGTCCAAACTCAGTGTTTCATCATCGGCTCAGAATACTTCGTATTTCTGTAACATGATTCCTAACTTCGGCAGCACTTCGCCATCACGGAAACTTACAGGGCGTAAGAGACCACGAGCTTCCAATAATGAAATCTGCTCTGAGGATGAGATGGCGTCTCTTGTTGCGGCAGAACTGAATAAGCTGACATTTCAAGAACGGGAGACAGTCTACGAGGAAGTTCATGCGATAGGAGCCACAGACCATCAGAATCAGATCTCAGACGAGGAAATGCAAAGACTGATCAATCAAACTAGAGAACACATCGCCACAACACGAAGGAACAAGCAAGCATACAACCGAGCTGTATTTCTCAATCCTGAATATGTGGATTCTGATCATTTTTTATCACTGTTTGTAATTGGAGAAAAGTTAGTGCCATTGAATGCGGCAAAGAAAGTGATTGATCACTTTGCCATCAAAGCAGAGCTTTTTGCTCCCCATCTGTTGGCCAAGAAGATTACTTTCCAAGATCTAGATGAAGAAGATCAGAGATCACTGTTGTCTGGTTCCTATCAAGCTGTGGGTACCGACCTTGCTGGACGGACAGTGGTAATGGGATGTCCGTGTCACGAGTACAAGACTGTGGACAATCAGGTATGTAAAATTGACGAATCTGGCGTTTGAGTATAGTTTCAATGGACTTACTCATAAAACGCCGTATATAGGTTCGCGCCTTGTGGTACATTTTGTCGAAGATTGTGGCAGACAAGTCGACGAGGAAGAAGGGATTGGTTTTTCTGTACTATGTGTCATCAGCATTATCAAACGATAACGGGCACATCGACATGTACCTCAAAGCCTCATCTGTCCAAAAAGCTCTCCCACTTGTTGTGAAGGGTTTTCATTTCTGTTATGAACACGAAATCTTCCGACCAATCATGTCCGCCATGCAAATGGTCATTGGCAATCGTATGCGATTGCGATTCCGTTCCCATTATGGTAAGCACACTACAGTAGAATCAATTTTGTTGATTACGCATTCGCGATGTTGTATTTTTCTATGGATGAATGCTATCGATTATTTTTCACCTGCTGATCTATCGTGGTCAACTACTATGTATTCGCAGGTTCAACAGTCGAAATAAACTACTCTCTTCAGACGTTTGGGATACCAGGATCAATCTTTCCTTTTGAAAGGAATGGGAAGCTGAGTCTCGATAAGTTTCGAAACTACCTGACGACAGTCATTCAGCAAGAGGGAGAAGAGGAAGTCAAGAATGGGGACACAATCTTTTGCCCAACTAGTGTTGATGTTCTTCTTGGGCGGGGACGCCATCCTCAGGAACACTTGGGGAATTTGAATCTAGCCGAACTTGTCGATGCGCATACTGGCACGTATGCATCGATTCCTAAAAAGGGCAAAAAAGAACTTCACATGTCAATTGTCCGATCCGTGCAAGGTCAAGGCGGAAGGTTCCTAAAGCGTGGTCCTCGTGGCGAAGGCTGGGAAGTTGTGGGTGACGAAGTTGCTATCGACAAAGTTCGCAATCGATTTCGCGAAGCCATCTCGAAGGAAACAAAAAAGACTTGATTTCCCGTTGCGGGGACTACAGTAGAGTGGAGGTCCGTGCTGCTGGCGCTGACATGAGAAGTTTAAATTTGTTGTCAATTTGTAGTGTTCACTCGTGCGTAGAGGTCACATGAAGGCGACTATTTTATCGTCCCCGCTACTTTTTCTTTTCTGAAGCATTACAATCGGCCGGATAGGATCCCAGTCGCATGGTTTTCTTGTCGACTGCTCAATAGCACAAGGCAATTGGAATGTCTTGCCGCATCCATCAACGATTGGTACCAAAACCACAGGTGGCGGATATCAGGAGATGAGCAAACGAACATTTACTCATTCCACAAAAAGTCATTCCTCCGACATGGCTTCAACTGATATGTCCTCGCATTATACTGTATTTTCATTCCGTGAACCTCTGTTGTTCAGTCACCAAAGTTCGTTGTTCTTTTTTGAGTATAGAGGAGAGTCATTTTATTTGCAAAGTCGAATGGGTCGCACTAAACCCGATTTTACCCAATCTCCCTGTACAAGTACTATGGACATTCCTACTAGCTAGCAAAATAGCTAGCTACTCGTAGAATAAAAAATGGGCATAGCGAGGTACGTGTACGCGTGCTTATTGGAGTCATTCAAATAAATGGAAAAATTGTCAGTCGATTACATAGACTACATTTTAAATGGCCGATGAAGAAATCCGAAAATGGAAGTTAAAAGTACATGTTCGTACTTTCAGCTCCATATATTTATCTTCCACCATTTTGCAGTCTTGTCTAGGATAAGTCTCTTGCTGTATTACCCTTGACGGAAGCAAGGAGACTCAATACAGTACCATGGCATCAGCAGACGAAGTGTCCAAACTCAGTGTTTCGTCATCGGCTCAGAATAATCCTTCTCATTTCTGTAACATTCCTAACTTTTGCAGCACTTCATCATCATCGCCATCACAGAAACTTACAGGGCGTAAGAGACCACGAGCTTCCAATAATGAAATCTGCTCTGAGGATGAGATGACGTCTCTTGTTGCGGCAGAACTTAATAAGCTAACATTTCAAGAACGGGAGACAGTCTACGAGGAAGTTCATGCGATAGGGGCCACAGACTATCAGAATCAGATCTCAGCCGAGGAAATGCAAAGACTGATAAATCAAACAAGACAACACATCTCCATAACACGAAGGAACAAGCAAGCATACAACCGAGCTGCATTTCTCAATCCTGAATATGTGGATTCCGATGAATTCCTATCATTGTTTGTGATTGGAGAAAAATTTGTCCCATTAAATGCCGCGAAGAAAGTGATAGATCACTTTGCCATCAAAGCAGAGCTTTTTGCTCCCCATTTGTTGGCCAAGAAGATTACTTTCCAAGATCTAGATGAAGAGGACCAGAGATCACTCATGACAGGCTCATTTCAAGCTGTGGGTACCGATCTTGCGGGACGGACGGTGATACTCGGAACTCCTTGTCACGAGTATAAGACTGTGGACAATCAGGTATGTATATTCGATAAAGCTAGCGTTTGAATATGTTTCAAATGGACTGATCAATAGTACCCATTGATCGTGTAGCTTCGTGCCATGTGGTACATTTTTATGAAGACGATGGAAGAACATTCGACGAGGAAGAAGGGAATGGTTTGCGTCTACTTTTTGTCATCGACGCTAGCGAACGATAACCGAAGCATCGACTTTTACCTTAAAGGATCAATGGTCCAAAAAAGTATCCCATTCCACGTGAAAGGGTTTCATTTCTGTTACGACCACGAAATCTTCCGACCCATCATGTCCGCACTGCAATTGGCCATCGGCAATCATATGCGATTGCGATTTCGTTCGCATTATGGTAAGCATTAAATTGGGGTAAATCGTACTCAATGCGGAAAGGCCGATCCCTATCTAATTGTTGGAATATTGTTGATTGTTTTTGTATTTGTCGTTTGGTCGTCATGTTATTGTGTCCCCAGGTTCAACAGTCGAAATAAACTACTCCCTTCAGACGTTTGGGATATCAGGATCGCTCTTTCCTATTGCGAAACATGGAAACCTGAGTCTCGATAAGTTTCGAAACTACCTGGCGACAGTCATTCAGCAAGAGAGAGAAGAGGAACTCAAGAATGGGGGCAAAATCCTTTGCCCAACTAGCGTTGATGTTCTTCTTGGGCGAGGGCGCCACCCTCAGGAACACTTGGGGAATTTGAATCTAGCCGAACTTGTCGATGCGCATACTGGCACGTATGCATCTATGCCAAGCCAGGATAAGAGGACACTGAACTGCTTCATTGTTCAAACCGTGCAAGGTCAAGGCGGAAGGTTCCTAAAGCGTGGTCCTCGTGGGGAAGGCTGGGAAGTTGTAGGTGACGAAGTTGCTATAGACAAAGTTCGCAATCGATTTCGCGAAGCCATCTCACAGGACAAGCAAAAACATAATACTACTTGATTCCAGAGTGGAGGCTAAGGTGAAAAATTGCGTTGACAGACGATTGGACTCACTTCGTGCTCTGTTCAGTACACACAAATCTCGTCAATGGCATTGGGGACGTTTGGAATCCACTCCGAGAGGTCATGTCAAATAAAGGGATCACGAAAGCAGCGCGAACAAATGTACTGCAAGTCTGCATGCTGTATTGGACTATAGTGAACCCTAGGATTGTGAACTGTACATGTAGACATATTCAATTCGCTTTGTTGCAGAACAAAACATTCTATAACAGCAATTATCTCTAGTGTCACGGTGTCACAACCCATGGAAACCAACCAACCAACCAACCAACGACAAAAACTACCTTAGACTAGAGCATTCGTTTGATTTCTTAAAAGGCAAAGGCGGCCACCATCATCACTACCGAGATAGCAGTCACAGTCAACGCCGATGTACCTACACCGCTATCGGCTGGAGGAGATGTCGTCGCAGTGACAGGAGCGACGGTTGGTGCCACCGGAGCCATTGTTGGTGTTGGTGTTGCTGGAGCCGTGCATTCGTCAAAGCAGCCTTTGCACTCAATAGCTGGATTGCAGGCATCGTATGGCGCAGCCCATGTTTGAGACTCAGAGTCAAAGGAAAAACAGCCTTGGAATTGAGACCCCCAATGTTGCCCCAGATCCCGATTTGCGAGCCTCCAAGATCTGGACTTCCACCATTAAAGGACCAAACTATGGAAGGTAGGTGGCCACCGTCTGTTGTCCGCCAAGTTGCGATGGCCGCTTTGACTGCTTCAACTGTTCCATAGTTTTATGCAAACGGAAACCGCACACAAATTTGAGAAAAATATTGATGTGCATATACATCTATTGTTCATACATCATGTTTCATCAGACTTACGTGTCATGTTGGTGAGTTTGAACCCAGTGATAGCCTGTGGCCAGCGAACAGAGTTCTTCATGAGGCGCTCGTCACACAAGCGCTCGGGCTCAATGCCAGCATTACACAAGGATTCAACTCCACCAGACCCAGAAGTGCAGAAGGAGAAGATAATCCCGCCTTCGTTGACATCTGGTCCACTCAATTGGTAAAATCTATCGACCATCATGTCTCCATAGACCTTGAAGGCCAAAAGATCGGCAGCATTCTGGTCAAAGGAAAAGTTCCCTGCTGCGGGCGGAGGAAGTTGTTGGAATCGGATTAGACACATATCACCATTTCCACCAGCAGCTGACAAGCCAGCAACGATATCCGCAATGGTAGAGCCATCTTCTCTCATGGGAGTGAGCAAACCTGGAGCATCAAATGCGCCGTTGTCCAAACTGGGAGATCCCACCAATCTCCCGTCCGGTCCAAACATACTACCAAAGTCGACATCATTGTCCTCGGCCTGTACTCGTCTGTGAAACTTGGGTACAATTGGGTGGTTCTTCGGCACGTACTGCGATCCTGATGAGGCAAAGGGGCACCCCTCCACCACATTTGTGGAGACGAGAGCAACGGCAGTGGCAATGCCAATGGCAGATGATGAAAAATGCATGATGGCGACTTCTTTGTTGTTTCTGAAAATGATTTTATGATTTGTGTTCCGGGTGTTTTATGTTGAGAGAAACTCGAAAACTCCAAAACGCGATCAGAAAGATTCTTGTTGTCCCGTTTGTGCACGTAGACTTATACCTGCCCATGAAAATTTTAAAAGCAGAAAAGCCTGCGTGCGAGCCTCTCTCATGTTTTTCGGTTGCTGAACCATTCGCGTTTCTGTGCATGGTAAGTTTTTACTTATTACCAATCGAAAATGCTGTTTAATTTTTATGGCAAAAGAACACGCCAGCCGGCAGCTCCCAGACTTTTGAGCTCAGGGGTGCCTGCAGTGCTGCCATTATGAGGATATAATTGCGGGGTGCTGCTGCGTCAATATAATAGCCAAGAGCCACGACCTTGCATAGTAGCTAGATTTTATACCCTCGTGACATACAATACTACATGGATCATAGCCTAGATAGTCGCTTATATCAGATTAGCTTCATAACAGAATGCAATCACATTCGGCACGACGACTGAAGCACCACTACGGATCCGGTGTGCTTCTCGGTCATTTATGTTGACTGTCGTTCTTTCTGTATCGTCTGCCGAAGCAAAAGCAGCAAATTTCATCTCCGATTTCCACAAAGACAGCTCCAACAGCGTTGTGGCTTCCATCTGTTCGTACCTCGACAGAGCCATCGCTGCCTCTCGAAGCAAAAATTGCCGATGTTCCACGTCGTCCTCAGCCACAATCGCATTCGCTCTATTGGACATGTCCGATTTCCAAGCTTCCAATCCATTCCAACTCGACATACTACCCACCATCCATCCTTGAATAGCCATTCGAAGCATGTTTCGTGAATCTTCATCCAGATGAAAGCTTCGTTGTGTCAAGTATTCAACGGCAGTCTTTCCCTTCACGTCTCTCCATCCAAGGGCATGCGGTGGATACGCATCTAGTAGGACCTGCAAAAGATCCAGTCTGCAGGTTGCAGCCGACAACAGAACGTGAAAGGGTGTCAAACCAAAAGGGTCGACCAAATGGTTGCTGCCTTCTTGGTTTGAATGCATTGATGACTCAATCTCCTGAGCCAGCTCATCTGTTGTTGTAACAGAGGCGTGGTAACACTTCTTGTGTATGGGAAAGTTCTCAAAACGACTCATCAGAGCAGGAGGGATGTTCGTGTCCCAGCCATACTGATCTTCCAGCATTGTGCAGCCATCAAAGCTGGTGTAGCCAATTGCTCCTGTACTTGTTGTGGTCGTTGACGATGCGGAGGGAGGAAGACAAATGTTTACTAAACTCTTGCATTCCGTAAAGGCCCCATCAGCAATCGTCACAGTTCTAGGCCTATCCCCCAATTCCACGGATAGCAAACTCAAACAATGCTCAAAAGCAGAGTCACCAATCTCTTCTAATGAGTCTGGTAGTGCAACGGCTTGCAAATTCTTGCAGCTGCTAAAAACACCGTGTCCCAAGTATTCGAGACCATTCTGAAACTTCAGTACCAGCAAAGAATTGCAGTCACTGAATGTATATGAATCAATGTACTTAACAGTGGAAGGAATGTTGATTGTTCGCAAGTTGACACATTCCTTGAAGGCAGTTTCTCCAATGAACTTCAAATTTCCTTCCGCGAAATTCACTTCCTGCAAGGACGAGCAATTGTAAAAGGCTGAATCTCCAATGGTAGCCAATAAACCATCTTTCTGAAACGAAACTTTCGTCAATGACTGGCAACCACTAAAGGCGTACTCTCCAATTATCTCCACACGGGAGGGAATGCTGACTTCGGCCAGTGACAAACAATCGGCAAAAGCAAACCCTCCAATGGTAGCCAATAAACCATCTTTATGAAAAGAAACGTTGGTCAATGATTCGCACTCACAAAAGACATGCCCTCCAATTCTCTCCACACTGGAGGGAATGCTGACTTCTGTCAAAGACGAGCACTCGTAAAAGGCAGACTTTCCAATGGTAGTCAATAAACCATCTTCATGAAAACGAACTTTCGTCAATGACTGGCAACCACTAAAGGCCGATTCTCCAATAATCGTCACAGTTGGAAGAATTTCGATTTCCAGCAGACTTTTACATTCATAGAAAGCTAACTCTCCAATTGTTGATAGAGCGGAACCATTGAAATTGACGCGTGTGAGTTTTTCAAACATGCCGCAAGCTTCATTTGGAATCTGTCGAACGAGAGGATGAACCTCTAATTCTTTCACATCTTCTGGAATGGTTTCTCCTTCGTTTCCAAAGTAGAGATGAGAAGCCATTTTATTCCATGAATTGCAATCAACGGATGGCTTTTTTTTTCTGTGCCTATGCTTCTTTCAATCGAGGAGGGATGTTGCTTATCGTCTTTTTGTTGTTTAAAAAAGGTTGTGTGCAGTCGGTGTGATGAGTATACCGGTATATATGAGGAGTAAAATTAGAAACGCACTCATTCCCGCCCCAGCCGCGCCTGTCGGAATGAATACCGCGAGCATGGCTAGCTTATGGACAAACGCCATCTTCAATCTCGCCAGAGAATCTTAAAAAAAAGATTCTCTGGCTAATTATTCAACTTCCTACGAAAGCGAAAAGAAGACGAAGACGTGAAAACAGGTTTCTGTCCCCATTTTAAATTTTGACGAAGGTAAAAGACATACTGTATGAACTCCTTCGGAGAAGCTAAGGAGATACTGCACATTCCTGCACGACGTAGACAAGTGAAGTTTCGTTTCGTTTCGTGTCGTTTTCACAAGCCTATAACAATTCGTAGAGCCTCACTCAATGCGTCGCGATATATTTTTGTAGTCTAGCCATTTTATTGTAGCGGGTTTTCATCTACTTCAACCGTAAGTGTTGGACGTCTTCTTTTGGAAGCAGAAATAGAAGCGGAAGTACTATAACCAACCTCTGAAGATACACGCCTCATCTCGCTAGCATCAAGGCCTTCTCCTTCCTCTGAACCATCACGAGCGATATCCTGAGATTCTCGTCGATGGAAAATGATAGAATCCAACGACTTGGATCGAAGAAGAAGCAATTCGTCTGGTTCCATACTCTGCAATCGACCAGTAGCAACTATTTCGAGCCCTTCGTCTTCGGCGTAGGTCGATGCTTTCGGAACAATCTCTATCCCTTTGCGGTCGTCGTTTTGATCGTCCTCGTCTTCACTACTCCCCGTTGAATTATCATAACTACTCGAGTCATAATAGCTACTGCTCGCAAAGCTCGTCACATTCGTTTCCACTGTTCGAATACGTAGAGCTGCAGCAGATAAGTTGTCCTCTTCATTAGAGATCGTTGCAAGTGCCTCGTCTTCACCATCTGAAACTACTGCAACAACTTCGATTGCCTCCTGGTGTAAAAGTGTAGGTCTTCGACTAGCTCCTCTTTCTTGAGCATTGGTCCCATCTTCGCTACTATCTGGTTCTGTGGTGGGAGTAATATCAGAAGACGGCGTATTTGGAATCAAGCTGCTGGCTTCACGATGCTTTAATATCCGTTGCTCCGCTTCCGAATACAGAGCGGCTTCAGTTTCTGGCCTAGGAATCATGGTGCCATATAACTGCTGACCAGGAATCATTTGAGCCACATGAAGGCTGTGGCTTTCGGGACTTTGTTTGGCAAAGGACGGTGCCAACGGTTGATCAAAGTGTCGGGCAACATTGTAGGATGGGACCAGAACGCTATACTTTCCAAAAGCAAGCACCTTGATTGCCTGGACCTTGACAGCTTCTTCTCGACGAAGGCGGGCCTCTTGGAACAATCTATCAATATTTCGGATAAGAACCTTTTGACTTTCTTCTTCCAGCTGGAAGAAAGTGTCGATTACCTTCATGTGCGGCCCAAAGAATCCCCACACCGTGATCCGCGCGGACCATAACAAAATGAATTTCCAAGGTAGGATCATGGAAACAACTCCTGAGACAAAGAAGGCCGCTGTAATCCAAAATGACAGTATACTCTCTTCCCATAATGTAACTATACGGATGCACCGAATCCATGTGCATATTCTTCCAATGATACCCTGCCATCTTGTTAGCCGAGCTTGCAAATCAGGAGGAAGGAGCATTCCAGCATTATTCACGGCCGTCGAAATATTCTCGTTCCCATAGTTCTCGAGTTCTTGCTGCAGCTCAAATCGCTTTTGTTCTCGAAGCACATCCAACTCCACCCGGTCTTGTAGTGACTTTTCGTAGGCTTCCGCTTCCTGGTGTCGTTCGAATGCCTTGACACTGACGCCCGACGCTAAATTTGACTTTGGGTCAGCAGCATTTGCCGGAGATTTTGTCAAGTCTCCTAGAAGGATGTCAACAAAGTGCCATATCGACTGACACCGTTTCCAAGGAGAAGGGTGTTGTATTCGCTGTGTGTGACTCGCCATCATAATGAATGATATCGAGAGCAATGTAAATGGAACGACCAAATGAGGATTTTCAATCAGGTGACAGGCACCCACAAAGAAAAGAAAGGAATATAGCGGAACCTTGGTTGTTCCATCGCCAGCAATATCCACTTGACCCCGCCAAAAGACAAGCGAAAAGAAGGAATCCCGAATCGCATAATAAAGCTTTCGTTTGTAGCAAAGAATTTCATTGATGTAGGATCGAGTTACGGTCAAATCAAAGCTTTCTTCGTTGTCGTATTCTCCAAAACACGTATATCGGACGACTCGAAATGTCTTTTGCATGCGAACATTGATATTGATCCTCGGTCGAGGAGCCAAGACTTCCATTAGAGCAGCCTTTTCGTCGTAGCACTCCATTCGCAATCGAAGGGTAATGGATCCATTGGCAGTGCGATCCGTGACATTGGAACTTTTGTAGAGAGCATATTCCAAAGTGTATTCCGTATTATGCTGCAAGTTGGATAGATTGACTGCCACTCGCCCAATTGGGTCATGGTCGCTTCCTACATCAAAATCAAAGACTCCTAAATACAAAATACTAGCTGGATGCATCGTGCCAAAGGAAAAAGCACGCTGTGTCCAAGGGAGCTGTAAAGGTAGTGGTAATATCGAATGCAAAGAATGAAATGATGAGTCATGGCCATTCATCAGCATCGCAAGCAAGAAATGCGAAGCAAAGCAAAGCAAAGCAAACTACAATTCGCCAAGGACTCGACTTGTTCTTACCCAATGCGGACTCAACTCATCGTCAATCACATCCGTCGTGGCCACTGTATCTTCGTATACCAAACAAACAAATGGATCGGTATAATCTCCTACGGCTTCACCCATGTCCATGTTTGGCAAATCATGGCAGGCAAGGACCTCCACATAGAGTCGACCCAGCTTTCCACTGCCCGCTTCCACCCACGAATGCGATGGCCCATAGGTTTGTTTCTTGATATCGGTTGCCGACAGAAATTCGGTCTCGTTTGGGGATTTCGGATTAGGATATGGTTTGATCCGACGCAACTCACGATAGGACTTGGTGTCGTACACTGTGGATGCCGTGAACATGTTGTTGACCAAACTAAAGAAATTGTTTTGGGCCAAGGAGGAATCGGATTTCTCCGTCACTAGATTGGCAATGGGCAGCAGCTTTGATTTTGATTTCTCATTGTTGGAGGGAGACCGTTGTTCTTTTTCTTGGCCATGCAAGATTTGATCGAGAAATTCTTTCTTGAGTTGACTGCCATCTTTGGAACTCTTCAGCAGGTTTAGAATTTGTTGATCGGATTCTTGTGATATTCGAAATCGGACTGCCAGAGTACCGACGTTGTCTTTTCGATTCTTTTGTATCTTTAGTTCGATTCGTTGGCCATTGCATTGCGATAAGATTGAAGTTCTGGAAATCTCGACGCTTCCCAGGAAGATTCGATCGGTGCGATCGGCAAAGAAACTGCTGGCACTGTTGTTGGGTGCAAAGTTTCGGACAGCATAGACTTCAATCAGTAGCGGATTGGACAGGGTTTCCACCTTGGACTCTGGTAATAGAAATAGAGATTTGGAAGTCACGGTCCATATCGGATTTCTTCCAGCTTCAGGCCTTGTCGTATGAACCAATTTTCGATTGAATTGAACCGTGCAAAAGGTGTGCAAAGCTTCCTTTGGCGCTGTTGGAACAGTAAGATTCTGCGCTCCAATGATTTCACATAGGATCGAAGTAGATGAGCTACCGGTAGCGACTTTGGAAGGCGTTGATTCCATGGTCATGATTGTCTTTTTCATGGACTAAACATGAAGCTGAATGAATGAATCTCATTCTTCTTCAACTGCCTGCGATCTGATCTGATGTTGCATTATTCTCTGAAAACTCGCCAAAACACGCGCAATAAGATTGGCCGACGATCATGCATTGGAGGTGCGATCAACGGACAAATGGTGGGCGACATTGGAACACAAGAGCGAGCCTGCCTGTTTCCCGCCAAATTGAAAATGGCATGCGTCATTCCTTCTCCCCATCTCCTCTCCAGTTAATTCTCGATGAACGAATGAATGAATCGAATCGAATCGAATCAAAATCATGCTTGAGTGTTCGGATAGCGGAAGAGGATGGTTGTGAGATGGAGTGGTAAGCTGTTGTTCTTTCCAATTGCTTACGCTGCTGTTTCTGTCATTGGTATCACAGCTTATCTGCATTCCAAGCTGGACGTTGACGTCACCTTTGGGGCGCCACATTTATTTGCCAGAAAGACTCAAAACGAGTGCAAAACGAATTACCCCTCTGCTGCTTCCACCAACGAAACCTCGTCGTCATTGGAGCTTTCGACAGCAAATAAGTATCATATTCTGTGCACAACCTATCATACGAGATGGAAATGGGGCTCGTATCAAATCCGTTGCCGAGACCTCAAAGGTTGGGCCGATCGATGCGCTCCCAATGTCGAGCTTCATCTCCATCCGCTGACCAAGGGTGGAAGAATGACAGAACGCGTGGGCCTTGGAGGCATTGTGGATGGTGAAGACAGTTGTCAAGTATACAATGCTTCGGTAGGTATCAAATGGGTCTTTGATGATCCTCATCCTCGGTTTGGAAAACAATTTGTGGACGTGGTCGACGATTACGATTGCAAAAAGAGACACGTGCCATCGAATATCGAGCTAATTACCCAAAATGCCTATCATGCCACCGATGTCTTTCCCTATCGAAAGTATCATGTGGTGGAACACTGGTACAATAGCTATCCTGATGACATGATGTCCGAAGAACCTGTCTTTGAATTACCCACGGTATCAGAAGCGGACGTGACGAGCAATGCTCCCTTGAAACTGGCCACTGTCTGGACCAACGACCATTGGCCTTGTCCCAACATGACGGAACCTAGAATGGACGTTGACTACCAATGCATCGATGAAAACTATTTGATAGGGGATTGGCATTGGAAGTACTTGAACCCTACCAACAATTCCGAACTCGAGGAACAATTCATGACGATTCTCAACAATACGGAACATTTGGGACATGGACGACTGTATTACGAACTGTTTTGGACCTTTGACGTCCTCGTAATTCCCGTCAAACGACAAAATGTCCCCAAACTGAAATATGGTAATGTTCAACGGGCTGTCAGTCAAATGCGAAGTGGAGTACCGGTGCTATTAGAAGTGTACGAAGAAGTCGTCGAAGATTTCATGGAGAAATACAATTATACCTGTGCCTTTGTCGATCGAGAACATTGGGATGAAAACAATGACCCCAACAAAGAAAAGTATTGGTCCTTTGACCAAGCCGTCAAGGCCATGATAAGTCCTGCACTGCGGCGACAATGCCAAGAAGAAGGTCTAAGAATTGCCAAGGACTTTTCACCAAGTCAAATTGCGAGAAAACAATTGAGGGCGCTTGGATACAATGGTGATTTTGCATGCTAACACAAACAAGAATAAAAAATGACAAATATAAAAGGATAGCACATATAATTTTTAAAAATAAAATAATGTTACTCGTTCAAATAATATAGGTTTATATAGCTAAATCTATACTACATTGTGTTGGCCCGTGTTGTTATTTGGTTGATCTGGGTCTTCCATCGGGTGCTGCCACGGTTCCTCTCCCGGTGCTGTAGTCCATGCTCGGTGATGGAGTTTCGGACCATTACCATTATGGGAGGTCTCATTATTCATCCTACTTTCAGTTTTACCCTGCTGCTGTTGGAGATGCTTCAATCTTTGCTGCTGGCGGCGTTGTTGTTTGGTGAGAAATGGTTCTTTGGGTTTGATGTATTTTCGACTGATGTTTAGGTCGGGATTTAGAAACAATGGATCGTCATCGCCTTGTGCATCATCTTCTTCTTGATCTGAATCCTTATTGTCTTCTGCTGTCAAACCCACTGATTCTTGGCGCTGAAGTCTCTGTGCAGTGTTTTCCTCTGCTTCTTCGATGGCCCCTTCAAATAGCTGTTGGGCCGATTGGTATCCTCGGAGTCCTTCCACCGCCGTATCCATCATGGCGTAGGTAGCATGACCCAGCATGGCGGTAAACCCTGACTTGCCCGCAAATCCGACAAACACTGGAGTCAGCGCCAATCCCCAAAGTGACGCAAGCAGGGATACAAAGGCGAATCTCGAAATGGAGGAAATCTTTTGCAACGACGCCATTCCAACGTAGCTTCCGACCGCAAATCCATTGTACAAACCACTGGCATGTTTGTACTCGGTGGCATTGATGATCAACATACTTAGCAACGCCCATAATACTGGTACCGTCACATTATTCAGTGGTACGGGACGTGGTGATGATGATGGTGATGGTGATGCTAATGGAACACCAACATTGACTTCATGACTGCTGTCCCACTTCTGCATGTATTCTTGATGGAGAATGCGAGTGACTCCCGAGATCCATCCAAGCCATATCACGGCCCAGACATATCCAATTGCTAGTTCGACCTCTTCAGTCCAAGACCAAGCTTCCGCCCAGTCCAAGGTAGAATCCTCTTCTGCCACGTGGATGATGTGACTGAACCCATAGTAATAGCGGTCCCAATCCACAACACCCAGTGGACCATAAATGGAAACCATGACTATATTCATACCGAGAAATGTGGTCGTTCCCAAGCGTCCTGCGTAACCATCCAAAATCTTTCGTTCCACAAATACCACAAAACACAAGCCAACGACAATACTTAACAATAGGAGCCAGGCGTAGTTGATTGGACGTATTTGTGTATTATTCTCTTGAAAGAACGGCCCAGTGGATCCAATGATATTTTGTCCACCGACAAAGGCTCCAATTGCCACTGGAATGACTTGCGTGGATGACAATGGGGATGCTGCCACTAGCGTGATGACCGTCATGATGGCAATCTGAACATTGGTCGTATTAGTAGGAGTAGTAGTACTAGTAGTAGCAGCAGTAGCATTCTTGTAGGTATACGTCAAAGTGGCAGCCACAAAGATACTAAAACATTTGGCCCACCAAAGTTTACCTTGCACCAAGTGACGCAAGATCTTGTTGATATCCAACAGCTGACGATCTTGCCGTCGTTGTTGTGAAAATTGTGCAAAGAGAGGAAGTTTGAGGATGCCTCCTTCTTTGAAAGAAGAATCATCATCTGGTGGATGAGATGCTTGAATGTTCTCGTCTATATCAGCGCTATTACTGCTGTTCGAGTCATTGTCGTCATCAATCAATCCACTGGTTCTTCGTCTCAGCATTTTTTGTTTGGTTGGGTGATGCTTTGCCTGTTCTTGGGTTTTGACAGAATATTTTTATGATGTTATTGTTGTTCAACGCTGGCTTCGAAAATGTTCCAGCTTCAATATATAGTGTACCGGTATTTATATTGACACTGTATTTTATTGACGCCTCTTGAAAATTCATGTACAGTACTGCGTACACGTACATATTTTGCGTAGACGAATCGAATGAATCAATCGAATCAAGCAATCATCATGGAAGCGAAACGAAGATGAATAACGTGCAATAATATTCATTTTGGCCAGGACGTTGAACGTGAGAAAGAACCTGTTGCCTCTTATCGCACCATGAACCAAATGTTAGACCCATCACGTATTACATCATTATATATACTATTAACCATATATGATGTCTAACACTAAGTTCTTCCTACTACTGTTTGTATATAGGTAGTAGTACTGGGCACCGCCCTCACCATTATATCACTGATACCTGATACCCCATGTTCTATGTCATCTGACGAGACATGGCAGTCTGTTGGATACTACCGGCCGCTGCTTGTAGATCCGATCTCCTCCCAGCAACGGCTCTGCTGTTGAGCGCTCTATTTTGACGCTTCTTGTAGAGGTAAAAGGCCGCATAGGCAATGGCCCCCATGAATACCAATGGCACCACAATGTTGTTGAATAGCCCTTCTAGCATTCCTCCCTTTCTCTCATTATGGTTGATATTTCCAGTCATGGTCAAAGCTTCGTCCATGGTAATGATACCATCGTGAACCTCAATTCCCACGGAATTGCAATCCACTTGACTCAAGAGAGCCGTGTAGACCGTTTCATCGGCATTGGCCAGATTCTTGTAAATTTCCGACCGTCCCGGTTCGCAGTCCGCCCAAATGGAATATTTGTACATGACTTCCATTTGTCCGCTCTCCAAAAATGGCTTCATGAGTTCTTCGTATCCACAATCCCGGAATCGAAAGAGTTCTTCCACCTTGCGGGCTTCGTCCTCGCCGACGTCGTTGCCAATGTCTGGCACTTCTTCGTCCGGAGTACGAAATTTGTCATGCCTTGCAATGTATCCATCCTCACATTCTCCCTTGAGGATGTCACATCCAATGACGTGGGTGACATCCCGATCGGTTTGATGGACTCCCTCCAAATCAATGAGCTTGACATTCCATCCCCGTCTCAAAAACTCGTAGGCCGCATTGAGACCGTTCATCGAGGCACTCAGTTGGCTGATGCGCACCTTTTTCAAATCGGGATCCTCGGGATTGTGATAGGATTTGCACATGAATTCCGTATACGTCGAATTGGGATCGTTGGCGTTCCAAATGGACATCCATTGTTCAATCCTGGGGGTTCTATAATTGAGAATGACCGTGACATTCTCATCGTCCTGTTGCAGCGTGGATACAATTTTGTTCATGGGCGTCAAGGCGTCGTAACGAGCATTGTGTCCCACTTGATCAAAGAGTTCGGAACCAATCACCACACCATTTTCCGCTTCGGCCCAAAAGTTTTGAATCGACACGATGATGTCCTTGTTGAGAGTCGCATTGTTGTGTTGCTTCATGAGTTCTCCAAAGACTTCGGCGCCATAGTAATCGTCTTCTGGGGTGGGCCATCTCCAGTATCTGAAACGAGAGGAGAGAGGAAGGATAAATGATGTGCGCATGTGAGGTGTGATTATTCTTCTCTTGCAATCATATTGCTAGTGGTGTAATAGTAATAGTAATAGTAATAGGATTGTCATGTGCGGTCAATAACAACAGTAGTAGACAAGCTTACCTCAAAGCCAACAAATTAGGATGTCCCTTTCTCCATCCACTGGCAATCCAATGATGAAAGAAGTCGGAGACTCCACTGTTGTCGGCTTGATGAGGACCCGCAAAGAATATTAATTCTTTGCTGTCGAACTGGACGGCTTCACTGTATTCGGCCACTCCTGTTTGGATTTGAACGGCGATGAGCACTGCAAGGAATAATAGACAGGCTAAGCTTGTACGGCTGTGATGAAGTAACGTCATGCTGTTGCTTGTGAGTTTCAATGTGGTTTCAATGTGGTTTCAATCTACCGGTATCAATCAATCAATCAATCAATCAATTAATCAATCAATCAATAGCTAGCTGCAGTATGGATACGGTATAGATGTAGATACAAGATTGATTCAGCAAGAGTCAAGAGGAACCTTATTATATTCATAGCTGAACCTCTGAAAACCTCGTCTTCTCTTCGACTTTCTTCACGATCGGGAATGACCAAAATGACCCAACTGAATCAAAGGAGTACTGGAGAACAGGAGCTACTGTACTGTACCATTGCACTCCACGCACGCACGTCATGCATGATCATAACGTTCCTAAACAGAAACTGTATAATTTGCGACTGTTCCAGTACCTCGCATCTACGATCGGAAATATTGAAGGACACGTGCAGTACTATATTATTGTTTTGAAGAAGAGCATACAACGACAATAACACACCGTACCGGTACAGCAATATACCGGTATTTTGGTTTCACTGAAGGCTTCTCTTCCACTTTCTGGGAAGGGAAGTATACAGCATACAGATACTACTACTGTATATATACTTCCCATTTAGCCTATCAATTATTAATACTTTTAAAATACATCATGACAGATAACAACAATAATAATGTTCTATGGGACGATTTCATGTTGGTGGACGATTTCTTTGACGATGATGATGATCTACCATTCCAAAAGGCTAACAATAGTAATGGCAATGGCAATGAATCATCTCAGGAAGATCTTCCCCTCACTCCTTCTTCCTTGTCCCCCAATCAAGAACGAGCCTTATCGATACTCTTGCTGATATCAGCCATGTTATCCGCATTGGGGAGTGCTTCCATTGTGTACAAGGTCCTGCGAGACAAACGACAATTGTCCAAACCCTATCATCGAACCATGCTCGCACTAAGTATCTCGGATGTCATTGCCTCCTTGACTTTTGGACTTTATCCCTTTCTCATGCCATCCGAGACTAGAATATGGAGTTTTGGAAACCACACGTCTTGCAATACATTGGGGTTCTTTACCCAATTTAGTTTTGGAGCCATTGGCTACAATTGCATCCTCAGTTTTTATTATCTACTCGCCATCAAATTCAACATTAAACGACAGACATTCAGTCAACGATACGAAAGACCGATGCATTTCTTGAATTTGAGCTTTTTTCTAATTACGGCCAGTGTGGGGGCAGGCTATCAATTCTATGGTCCTGTTGGTGAGTACTATTATTATCATTTTGTATTGGATCATTGTATTGTATTGCATTGCATTTCATTGCATTGCATTGAAGTCTATCGACGTGTATTCATGGAATCACTCATCCATTCACTTTCATTGCTCATTGTATATTAGACGTTGGAATGGGATGCTGGGTCAACAATTGGCCAGATGGATGCCATCTAACGGGAGACTGCGTCAGTCAGAAAATTGCCATTGTCTTTGCCGGAATTCCAGTCTCCTTTTTCTTTGTCGCCATTGTCGTCAATAATTTGGTCGTCTACCGTCACACACGAACCATTTTCAATAGTCTGGAAAAGGTATATTCCTTGCAGGAGCAGCAACAAAAGCAGAAACAGGAGGAGTCGTCATATACAACGTCGGCGTCCTCACAACAGCCCCAAGGATCCTTGACGGCAAAAGAAGCCATTGCGGCACGAAAGATTCAAGTACGAAGCGAAATGTACGAGGGTCGATTGCAAGAAGTGGCCCTCCAAGCATCCATGTACGTTGGTTCCTTCTTGGTGTGCTACACTCCCGCCTTGTCCACCCGTTTGATTGAGACATTCTCCTACCAATACGACGATGCCAAAATTTATTGGTTACTCGTCATTACCGCCATGACGCTGCCACTCCAAGGCTTTTTCAACATGTTCATTTATAATCGACCACACTATGTCCGAGTACGCAAGGCTCGTCCGGATATGCCCATGGTCAAAGCCATTTGCTGCTCGGTAGTGGAATGCAAGTCCTTCTCGGCGGCCGTATTTCCAGAACGGACAAAATCATCAGCGACTGGTGACAATAAGGGACCCCACGACAAGAAGGCAAAACCCAGATTCTCGGCCGTTGGTCGCGGGTCCTTGGATGTGGTCATAGAAGAAGAAAGTCAAGTTTCGGATGAACATGAAAATGATGGGAATGATTGTAGTGAAAAGCCAACGGATGCGACTCCAAGACTTGACAACACGACAACCGACAATGATAGCACCATTAGTCATGCTGATGACAATGATGAAGGAGGAGAGGATACTTCGTCGAACGATGCTCCCATTCTTCACTCACCAAAAGGAACTGCGCCGGCTGCTGTGATTGACATGACTGGTACAGTGTCGAACAGTCGACAATTCGGTGCTTCTGGTGAGATCGGGTTCCAGCAAGTGAATGAATGAATGAATGAAGCGATCGAATTAATCATTCCATTTTCATCCATGCTTATTTGCACTCGGGATCGCAACAAGGCTAAGACTGGAGAGATGTCACTATGGTGCATTTGTACCAAAGGCTCCTTCAATCATTGGATCAATCATAGACTGAAAAGGTGCAGACGACATGTTGTGTCATGTCATGGCGTTCTTGGAGGAGATGCAAACAGAATATATTCCGACGGTCGTATGATAGTGCATTTCGAGTCGGAAGATCGCCAGAATCCTATAAGTGCCCTGAATGATGTCAAGAAACTTGACGCTTTCTCTGCTGGTGCTAGCGGCCAAACAAACCTTTTTGAGCAATGCTCTCACAAAAAGAAAAAGGGCTCTCACAAAAACATGCGAAGGACTTGTTGGCCTCGGCTATTTACTGTAGCTTCTGCGAAAGGAGTACAAAAAACCATTGTGATTTGGAAAAACAAGTACTTCCAATGAGCTTGGCAATGCATGGGGGAGATGATGTAGGCCCCAATGGATGGATCTGTTTGCGGAAACTGCAAATGTTGGTAGAGGCGGCTGTCATGTGGTGCAGTAAAAGGTACGCCGCTCTGTCGGTAAAACATGAACTTCAATCGCGTTTGTTCACAATGACGACAGTGTAGCGGCCCCTTCAAGTGTTGCATGGTGCAGTTACATCCTACGCCTGTCAGTCGGAGAAAATGAACATCAAATGCTCTTGGTAACAGGGAGAATTGAGTGGTGGCTCCTTCAAGTTGATGCGGATGCTTCAAGTGTTGGATTCCGATTCATGCTTCACTCTACATCGACATTTCAGTTGGAGAATTAACTTGAACTTCAAATAGAACCTGGTCTCTCTAAAAAGTACACGTACGCCCTTACCTTTGCGTTGTAGAATAGAGTTGAACTTCAATTGCACGTTGTCTCTCTACATTCTACGCCCTTACCTTTGAGTTGGAGAAGAAGCTTGAAGTTCAGTTGCACTTGAACGTTGCACATATGATTCTCTAGATGGGATCTGAAATTTGGGTTAGAGAATGTACAGTAGTTGGAGAATGTAGTTGGAGAATGTAGTTGATTCCTCATACCCATACCGGTAGTACGCACTTGTGGAACCTGAAGACTTTTGTGTTGTCGAGTACATAGTACCCAAAGTTCGAGTGAGCGGGGAGACTCTAGCAATTGTTAAAAGCCCTGAAGTGATTCATTCCCTCGTAATCTATGTCGCCTAATTGATTCTTTGCCCGAAACGGCTGAAAACCGCTCCTCGTTTCTTCCTTAAAATCAATGAATTGTTGACTGGTCGCATCAGAATAGCCCCCATGTTCATTAATTGAAATGTGGGTGCGAAGCGCTCATGCTTTTTCACCAAACAATTTCTACCTTTGTGTCAGTCCAAATAGCCACGTTTGTTTGTGTGTGGACAAACGAAGGAAAATCGATCTACAGTACAGTACTGGTATGACTGACTGGAACTGTGAGTGACCTTTCTACGCGCTTTTCGGTTTTGTTTTTCTCCGTCAAAGGAGAAATGGTGTTTCGCAATGCTGACGACTAAGTACGTTGAGGTGCATTGAGGTGGCAAACTGAAATCAGTACCTGATACCGTAGGTAAAAATAGTACCAATCCTACAACAGTGACACTCAAGCAAAAACTTCTATAAGTAAGCTCATTTTAAAAAATTCTGTTCTGCCACAAAGAATTTCAAGTTTCTCCGGCACTTGAGTTGAAGGATACGGGTTTGTCCGAGGGGAGTTTGCTACACCACCTCAACAACATCCGCCCAATCCCCCATCGCTCATCAAACAGTCTCACAATTTTAAAATCCTCTGAACCAGGACATCAATCTTGAAATGATCTCTATTTCTCACCAAGGACCTCTTCTATCGATGAACACATTTCCACAATTCAACAACAGTTTGCAGGATGAGTGTATCACCGATCTTCTTTCATCAGCACCAGAAATGATGATCGATCCGCTTCCTCTTCATCCTAAGAGCATGAGCTCTCTTCCAAAGACATCTTCCGAGCTAGAACCAAGACCTATTCATCCAAAGCAGGTCTCCCTCTCCGACCTTAAGGCACCATCCCTTCCTGAGAGCATCAAGCAATACTGCGATGAATACATTGCTCTCTTGGGCCCTCTTGCCGTGCAAGCTCCAGCCAAGAAGTCAACCAAGGTCGAACGTCGCAACTCTGGTTCGTCCGAATCTGAGACATCCTCTACCAATGGTATCGGATACCACGCCTTTCAAAACGAGAGATGGATGGATCGCTTTCAAGAACTCGTTGAATTCTACCAACGCGAAGGCCACTTCAATGTCCCCTACAAGAGCAACACTACGTTGTTCCAATGGGTGAAGCGTCAACGCCATCAATTCAAGTTGCGATCTATGGGCGAGCACTCCAATCTTACCCTTGACCGTATCCACCAACTGGACCAAATTGGTTTCGTTTGGAACTCACACCTTGCCGCTTGGAATGACAAGTTCAAGGAATTGAAGGACTTCAAAATGATCCAAGGGCACTGCTTCGTCCCATGCACGTACAACGGAAGCTCCAAGCTTTCTACGTGGATCAAGCGCCAACGAAGACAATATCGCAAGTTCATGGCCGGTCAACAGTCCACCCTCGATGCTTCGCGTATAGAGAAGTTGGAAAAGCTTGGCTTGGTTTGGGATTACTATGCCGGAAAAGACAAGGATGGAACTGCTTCCTCTGATGAAGAGTAAACATTTTCCTCTCCACAACAGCCTTTTTTGCACATTTTGCACATAGCCAACGGTTTCCCCCAGATATATAACTGAATATAGAATATCTTTGTACATACTCCAACAAACCTACTATCTACAAAGTAATTGCTAGTAGTATTAGAGGCAGCCTGATACCACAGCATAACTTGCAACACGAAGAATCCAATACGTTGTAAACACCATGTAAATAGTATCACTTTATTTTACCTTCTATCGTGATGTTACAGTAATACCCTTATTCCATTGCTTGACAAGTTGCTTTCTCCATCCCATCGAAAGGGAAAAGAAAGAGATACGCGACCCATAGTGGGGCTCTCGCTAGAAACGTGAATAGGACTGCAGCAAATCTACGTGTTGGATAAGATGCGTCAGCAAGAAACACAAATTTAGAGGGAGTATTATATAAAGATGATACCAAAATACACCAATAACGGTATCCTCGGACAAAAAGTACGCTCTTAATTATAGTTCGAAACGAAAGGGTACTTTCCATCTGCATGTACCCCTCAGCACTGATGGCATGTTGCTGAGAATAATGCGAAAGGGAGAAAAGCAAAGTGAGTTCATCTTTGTGCCATTTGGTTGTGCACTGGCTATTCCAGTGAACCTCATTCATGCTGGAGTCTATTCCAAGCCTGGAAGCAAAAACATCAATAGGCGATTGCATATAGTAGTCACAGAAAGAGACGCTCTGAAGTATCATGAAAAACAAGACCACTTGCATATCAATGGCATTGAAGAAGATCAGTTCCCATCGGAGCGGTTCGAGGAGGCAATGAAACCAAATGCAGAGCAGGACTGGTTCAGCAAAATGTATCTGAAACTGTACAAGCGAACGGCAACAAAGCTAATAGGCAACGTTAGGTGGTGCAATGGAAGATATACCATGACCCGCAACAATGATGGCAAGGATGATGATGATGACGACGAAGACAACGCTGATGGAGATGATGCTGATGAAGACAAGAATGCGAAAGACGATGATGACGAAGACAATACTGATGAACACAAGGTCGGCAAAGATGCTGCTGACGAAGACGAGGATAGCAGCAACACTAATAGTGGCATAGTGGTTTAAAATTCTGTAACATCATTTCACATTTACATTTAAGTCTTTCACTACGTTGCCATGCATACTATCAATCAGCTTGTTGGATCCCATGCAGCCAATTATTGAAACCCTCTGGTCCACCTGGAGCTGGGACTTCCACGTTACCCAATGGTGGTGGTACCATCCCAGGGATAGCCAGCCCTTCGACGTAGGCTTCTTGCTGATTCTCATTCATACTGTTCCACCACATTTGCTGAAGCTCAGTCAGATGGGTAGTTATGAGCTCTCCGAAGGTATCAGGGTTGCGGTGTGTGATTCTATCCTCCCGGCCACCAAGTGCCTCATAACGGCGGCGGCGGCGGACGGATGGGCCATCCCAATCTAGGATTGCAAAGGTGAAGAAGCTTGGTAACCCACCTCGGCCACGACTGACAAGATGGTTTCCCTTCCTTGGGCTCCAGTCAGAGCTGACCAAGATAAGCTTGTTCTCAATGCAGTCAGTTCCATTGTTGGCAAACACATCTCGATGCGCACCAACTGGATGGGCTACCAAAGTGTGAAATGCATGGGTGGCCATGTGGATCAGAGGCCTCCGATTTCTGTTGTGGCGTCTCTTGTGATGGTTCGTCGCTCTGGCGCCACCAATCTGGCTCATGAAAACACAGTGTTGCCATTCATCCAGAAGCTTTCTTGCGGCCTCACGGATGACGGTTCCGATCTGATTGGCTTGGTTGTTGTTGTAGTCATGGCAGATCATGGCAGCAATGACTCGACACGCTGGAAGTCTTTGAAGGACCTTGGATTTATTCAAAACTTCCAAAGCGGCACCGCTGGAAAGTGAAAGACTACCACCATATTGTGGGGTTGGATAGATCCACGAAGCCACTATTCTCCCTGCTTCACCGGCCTTCATATACAGGCCAAGTAATCCAGTAACTTTGGGCGTATTTAGAGCAATCAGTATCATGGCTCTTCGCCTCACAGGAAACTTTCCTGGTCTTTTGAGCAGGCAGATTGTAGGCTGCGAATCTAGTTTTATTTTGCCAGAAGAACCGCCTTTTCGGTTGTGCTCAAGCCCGTGATCTCCAGCAAGAGGGAGAAGATTGTTGAACAAATAATCTTGGCAGACTTCCACACCTTCCAGGATGGGCTTGCCGCACATATTCACAAGAATCATGGCGCCCACGTGGGCATCTGCTTTCTTGTTCTTGGGTTGGAGTAGACAGGACACCACGTTTGTGTCCTAAGTAATTGGTACGAAAAACATATAAAAAATAATCATGTATGAAGAACATATAAAGTACTTTCGTCCGGAAACACGTTACGTTTTTCCGCAGTACCTACGTATTCACATACGTGCAGTTTCAAATTCAAAACGTATTTCCGACGAGTGTCCGGTTTTTTTGACGTTTGTCCTGACGATTTTCCGGTCTTTTTTTACGTGTTTCCGGACACTTGACGAGTTTCTGACGAGTTTCCGACAAGTTTCTGACGAGTTTCCGACGAGTTTCCGACGTGTTGCTTGACGTTTTCACAATGCCGTTGTTTCTCAAATTCAAACTATGCAACTACAATCAGCCAGCAAAACCTCCAACAATACCAGGTGGTCCTAACGATCGATCTGGTTCTACATTCGGGCAAGAATTGAATTGATTGTCGAATACTTGTTTTCAACAGAGCAGAGATTGGGGAGAATAATCGGAAATTGAAGTCACAAGGCCATCAATCAAGATCAACGTCAAATCAAACACGACAACCATCCAAGGACTTCGCTAGATATACTTGGTTGCGCTAACGATCGATTTGGTTCTACGTTTGGGCAAGAATTGATGGTTTCTCAAATACTTTTATAAAACAGAACGGACAATGGGAAAAATGATCGGAGATTCCAGTCACATGGCCATCAATCAAGAACAATGTCAAATCAAACACAACAACTAGCCAAGGATATCAACTACTATACTAGGCGCTGCTGGCGATTGTTTTCGTTCTACATTTGGGCAAGAATTGATGGTTCTACGAATACTTCTATGCAACAGAACGGAGATTGTGAGAAATGATCGGAATTTCCAGTCACTAGGCCATCTTTCAAGAACAACGTCGAATCGAAGACAACAATCAGCCAAGGATTTCAACTACTATATTAGGTGCTGCTAGCGATTGTTTTTCGTTCTACATTTGGGCAAGAATTGATGGTTTTACGAATACTTCTATGCAAAAGAACGGAGACTGTGAGAAATGATCGGAAATTCCAGTCACTAGGCCATCGAATTGAAGACAACAATCAGCCAAGGATTTCAACTACTACAAACATCGTCAGGGAGAAGGTGTGGAATTATTGTTATGTTGGCAATCTTCTATTGCTGGAGAAGATGCCATCGTTGTTGCACGCTGCTAGACATATGAAAAAGAGTGTAAAACTTATCTATTTTAATTGCTGTATTCTCCATCTTGCGATCCTAGAATTAGTGTGACAAGCATGCATTATTGTATAGTTCTAAACCAACTATACATGCATACATGTCAGCGAGAGCAAGTCCTCTGAACGATGTAGAATGCCTCTGGTCAGGAGAGTGACACAGGTTCTCGTGTACGGCAAGACTGCGATGCCAGACAGCTGCTAGGTTTTACGGCCGCAAAGGCCAACGTGCGGACATTGCTATTTGCCTCGCGGCGACGACGCAGTCACCAAAAAATCTTCCTTCAAGCATCAAGTCGTAGCAAGCAACTGATGGCATGAAGGGAGGAGTTTTACTCCCTCCAAGGAGACGAAAAGATGAAGGCAACAAACATACAATTTGAGGAGGAATCAAAGAAACAACAATCAGACAAACTACGATCAACGTGCAACAGACAATGTTTTTGTGTGTGTTGATGTGTTGCACGAGTTACATCAATCTTGCGAAATTACATGTTTTCCAGAGCGGGAGTGGCCGACTCTCCCGCGCGCCTGGCAGGCCGATTCCCCTCTAATTCCCCAAACATTACCTAGCAATAGGACACGGGGTTAGGGTTAAATGTCAGTGGAAGTATGCTGGTCCTGCGCGTGTGCAAGACTGGGCTGAACAGGGCCGCTAATAAATAGCGGTGGACGTATGCCTGGCCTACCTGAGCATGAAACGAACGAGTTTCCGCGGAAGCAGCCATATGCCATATCGCAACAACAAAAAACTTTGCAATCAATGTTGATGGACTTGGATTTTGCGGTATCCGCGGAGGGCAAAGAGGACGATGATCCTTTTTTGGCGCCCAACCTAACTGTTCTATCTTCTCCAAGTGGATTCTTGTGCTTCTGCGGGAAACAGGTTTTGAACAGCTATTTTGCACGTCATCTAGCGAATAGCTGTCCTGTTGCAAAGTCAAAGGGAGTCACAAGGGACGACGTAAAATTCAAATATGATGCCAAACCCAAACTGATGAGGGCTTTTATTTGTGTTCCATGTGGGCGACTATATCTTAAAAGAGACTCGTTCTCCAAACACTTCAAAAGGAACAATTCTACAAAATGCAGGCATGAAAGGGTGAATTTTGAGCGGGAGTGCATGGCGTATCACACGCTGCACTACATAGGTCCAACGCCAGGTGCAAGCCAGTTGGAGTCCGGAATAAGTGGGGGCGGTATTTATGTGGATAGAGTTGTACAGGAGAGTGCAGTAGATGGGTTGGTTCAAGATCAATTGCCAGACGACGCTATTTTATTGTGTCTTGGCACTAATCATGCTGCTCTAAAGAATGAACTGGTTGACAAGATGAAGTCGCCCAGCTGTCTGGTCGAGATTTTGCTACCACTCCTTGTTTCAACAATTGGATCAAAATCACCAGCAACCTTTGTTCAGGCTGGAATAGAGCGTGTGCGCGAGGGTCCGGATTCCCCAATGGCGTTTATTTCAGGGGCAGACAAATGGATGCGCCAGTATTCAGCAAGGATGGTTGCCATGTTGCCTGGGAGTGTTCGCCATGAGATGCTTTCATTTCGCGTCGATACTGAGTATGAAAGCATTTTCACGGTGAGAAACAAGATTGAACCCGTCTGCTCCGAGTTGAAAAAGATTATTCATTTCACATGGAAGGCTTTTGGTTTGATCCATGGATTTGTTGATGAACAGGCACCACTACAAGTCCCAAAGTATCTGTACATGTTAAGTTTGCAGAATGGATAAAATCTCATTGACGGTTCCCCAGAACCCTACAATACACATCATTTCGTTTCTTCGAATCATCAGAATCTTTGAAGGGTGCATATGCCATTGGCAGCACTTTGGCAACAATTCTTTACATCTGCTGTCTGGGCAGTCTTGGAGAGGCTTTCAAGTGTAATGGGAATAATTATATTGGTCGACAGCTGGCTCTCTGCAAGGAGGTACAACAAGGACGGGTCATCCAGACTCTGTCGCCGCTCATAAGGCAGGTTCGAGAATATGAGAAACAGAGGAAGAATGGCAGATCAGGGGACAATGTGTCACAGAATGGAGACGTGGTGGTATCTGGTAGCAGGTACCCAAAGGCTTTATGGTCACAGCTTATTCCAAAGATCAGGGATAGGTTTCAGACTCTCTTCTGCGAGATTCTTGGAGCAAACGGGAACACACTTGTATCAGCTCTATTGGATCCATCCGTCAGTCTGAAAACAAGTTTTGGGAGCCAATGGTACCACTTTGAAGTGGGCGTCCAGCTAAATTCGACCCATTTCCAATTCAAAAGGGATTACAGAGTGATGGAGAAGATACACTGTTTTGTGCAGCTGGTATTTCACGGGGTTGGATTTGGCGCCATGAGGCATTCGGAGATCAAGGAGATGGAAGATTGTGCAATGCCTAGATTTTTCAATGGTGAGATCTGGTACTCTGCAGAGGGGTTTAAACGCTCAAGTGTATTTTGAACATCAAATGGATTTGTGGAGCGGCGGCTGCCATGGTCACTGAGTAGGCTGTATCTTTTGTACTTGTTGGCAAAAGAGCAGACTGGGTACAGCCCCATGAGTGGGATTAAACCAACACAGGTTGCGCAGGATATTTTTGGCTTGGATCATGAACCAACAATGCTTGATCTACGCCATGTTTGGACCGACATAACTGGATTTATATTTGGTTCTACCATGTCCAGAGGCGAGTTGGACGTGATTGCACGGCAAACAGGGCACTCGTCCACTACCCATCAATCCCATTATGCCATTGAGAGACCATTGGACGAGATGTTTCGAATCTTTCATAAGAGTCTGGGGGAGAAAAGCCAGAAGTTGCTGGGATTGTTTCTGGAAATGAAAGATGTTGAGCGTGCCATGAAATGTGTTTACGGCAAAGGGGCCATGTTCTTGGATGGGCAGGAAGAGTTTCTTCGTCTTGTTGTTGCAAATCCAGGGAAGAATGTCCACGCAACCATTCCATGTGGGTGTGGGAAGAGTGCAAGTTACTTTTTAATGGCAAAGGCAGCCGAGCTTTTGGGTGTTAACGACGGTGTCAGCTGTGTTGTGGTGCCATATGCATTTCTATTGGACCACATGCTGGAGGTTTCACATAAACTTGGTGTGCAAGCAAGAGTTGTTCGTTCTCCCAGCATCTGCAGGGGTATGGTGCCAGATGAAATCAAAGAGAGTCTACCATCAATCTTGCTTTTTACTGTGGATTCGTTTGCAAACATGATGGAGAAGAGCGGATCATTTGTTGGGCAATGGGTCGAAGATGGTTACCGGTATTATTTGTTTTGAGATTTTTTCAGCGAGCCTGTTTCGCCAAAGTCCCAGCTGTGGAAAAATGCCCCAAGATTCAGCCCCCAAAAAAATTACTCACTTTTGGTCGCTTCTCATCGCTTTGGTCGCTTCTCATCGCTTTGGGAAACGAGTAATTTCCATTTGGAACGAGTAATTTCCATTCGGAACGAGTAATTTCCCTTCGGAACAAGGAATTTCCATTCGGAGCGAGCAGAAGCCTTATTTTGCTCACTTCTGATCGCGTTATGGTCGCTTCTCATCGCTTTGGTCGCTTCTCATCGTTTCTGTTTGAACTAATCATAATTGGTCATCATTAGCT